GCAACACGAGCATCGGCTTCTACTTCGACATCGCCAACCAGCAGGCGCCATGGGGTGCGGTGGGCGGGCCTTTGCGAAGCAGGCAACTGGGAAGGATTTCGGCCAGATCCTCAAAGTACCCATAGAAATGGGATAGTGTCCAAGATGACTTGGTGGTTACCCCATTTACTAGCGGTAGTCTGGGTGTAGCCACTCTGACAAATCTGCTAGCAACCCCCCCTTAACTGCCAGGTGGGGAAGGTACCAAGGGAAGCCCTCACCATTCGTCAGGCAACCCAATGGTTAGCCATTGCGACACGGGCCTTACACCTGACCTTGCAGCCCCTGCAGCACTGGCCACAAGTCCGTTATTTCTTCTTCTTTTTTTCCCCCATGGATTTCAATCTTGCTTCTTCCGGCTTTGGCGGCCAAGCAGGTTTGAGGCGGAACATGCAAAGCTCTCCTTTGCCAGGCCAACTCTGTGCCGCAGGGCAAGCAAGCCTTCTTGCAGCCGGGGCCCTGAAGTGGGGAGGGGGTTGGTGCGGCCTTTCTTTCGTCTCTGGGAACCCACGCTGGCCCCGGTGGGAAAAAGGGGGAGTTCCGCAAAGTGTGTGCTGCATTCCACTGCAGACTCCACGCCATTTTTTCTTCTTCTCCGCCGCGTGAGTCAGTGACCTTTCAAGGTTCCCTCCTGACGAGTCTTGATTCTGTCGCTCGAAGGAATCGCGGAAAGACAGGAAGCACAATGGAGAGTTCTGAGTTCTCGAGCCCACGTAAGCAGTAATATGATATATGAATATCTATGTCTGAATCCCTTGGCCCCACGCGAAGCGGTTCCTCGCAACTATTCCATAGGATCCATACAGGGCCCGCCAGTGCGCAATGTGCCGGGCATCGGGCCCGCCCCGAGGTTTCAGACTTGCTACCTCCATCCTTCTGGCAGGAAGCGCTTGCGAGTAACCACGGTGCCGGGAAGCCGAGATCCCAATAGGCGATTGAAGATGTCAAGAGACGATATGGGTAATGGTTTTTGTTTTGGAAGGTACCCTTTCTGAAGGTACCCTTTTTGGGGTTGGCTTAAAGGGAAGCCAACCGCGAAACCACCTTATTGGAGGTCCCCCTATCTTGACACACACACACACACACACCCATATGGTTGCACATACAGGAACTCTAGAAATGGTTGGTTTCCCTTTGGTGTTTCTTTTGCACCCTCCGGGAGGCTTTCCAAATTTCGGCCCCTCCAATTTATTGGTAGTTGCCGGCAGGCCAATTGGGGCTCGTCTCTATGCAGATCTTGTTGCATCCATGCATCGTTTGGAGCAAATCATTGTTCAGCACTTTGCTGAGCTGCGTTTGTAATGGACCCCCTCTCAGCTGGTTTGAAAAGGAAGCCTAAGGAATCTAAGCCAAAGGGGGTCCTCCCCCACAGATGGCCAGACTGCTCTCCGAGAGGTCACATCGATTCACAGATGCCCAGATGAGTGACATCCAGCAAGGCAGGGGCTTTGACTGGGCAAAAGTCGAATTTGGTACGAATTCCCAGGGACAATCAACTGATTGGAAGCTAGACAGGTAGATCATGCAATCCATTGCGGGCCGGTGCATTTGAATCGATGAGTTGAATGTTTTGTGCCATGCAAGAAATTGCATATCAAGTTGATACCCCTGCTGCTCTGCCATTGCATCTCGCGTTGCCAATTCCATGGCCCAGGAACAAAAGGAAAGTGCCTTGTCCAGGCTTCGACCAGGAGGCCGCTGCCGTGCTCATGGCGCGGTATGCCGTGTTCAAGTGCGAGAACGAGGCGCTGCTGCCCGCTGCCTGCGACACTTGCCCGGGTGGCCCCATAGCCCGGGGTTATCATCCCTTTGGCCTCTCCTCGTAAACAGCCTGAAGGCTACCCTGACAAGTCAAGCCCAGTCCAAGCGGTTCTGGGAAGGGATTCGTTGATTTGGATCGAGGGATGTGAAGGATGGGCATGCCTCATGGAAAATTCGGGTAACTTCACTCGGACATTTTGCGGTGGGATCGCGGCCGTGCTCTGCCAGGACCCCTTGGATGTGCTGCGCTGGGTCGATCGGATGCTGATCCGAAGCATGGCTGCAATGAAGCTGGTCAAGCCATGGTCTACGCAGAATGCGTAATATGTGCGTCGCAGGGCAACATCGATTGTATGATCTTTTGAATTCTTGGATCCCGAACCACATGGCATATGTTGTTTTCTCCGGTTTTGGTTTTTCTCCTTCATGTTTTTCTCGTCCTATTGTTTTTTGCTGTGTTCGAGGATGCCCTTTTTGGATTCTTGTTGAGGGATATAAAAAGGGAAACCATGGTTGGCTCCTTTGGAAGCAATTCCAAGTTCGGGTGTGGCTCAAAATCAAAGAGCTGGGACTTTAGTCTTTGTTTTCATACACCCAGGTGCCATGTGTGCATTCTTTGAATCCACAGCCATAGTTCTGAGTTCGGTGCGAACTCTTGCCGGGTGAAGGCCTGGTGTCGAAGTTCGCGGACTATCGCAAGGCAGGCGGCTTGCGAGCCAGCTTCCTGTGAAAGGTTTTGGGGTCAGGTGAACGTGGTACCTCGCAGTAGCGTTCATTTGGAGCTTGCGCGATGTGGGCATAGAACATGTTGGGGAAATTGGGAGAGACAGATTGCCACATGGAGAGCAGGTCCAGGGGCAAGGCGAGTCGTCTTGAGCCTTGCTCGCCGCTGCCTGGCTCAAGTTCCCCGTTCGCTTGCTTCCCAGCAGGCCCCGGAAGGGGGGTTGGGGCTGATGGTGGGGGGCGGGGGGGTTGGGTTCTCCCGCTGCATGGGCAGCTTTGACATGAGTTTTTATCGCATGTCGATTTGCTCGCGGCTTGCAGTTGATTTTTAGGTGGGAGACAGTGGATGAAAGCTACGTAGGGGGATTATTTTTGGGAACTGTAACTCAGTCTCTGCTTCATCTGAGTTGATGCCACAGAGCTCAGAAGCGTAAACACAATTTGATAGGATTCGCAGAAAAGACAGACGTTGCTTGTGGCGTTGGCTTTGACTAGTTGGAAATTCGGGTGCGTGCACTCGCTCGAACTCACAGCCGCCCTGAGACAAAGCGTGATTCCTACTACCATTCGCAGTCTGAACTGCCCAGGACTTAGTGTTTGCTTCGGGCGGGGGATTTGGGAGGTTCTGAGGTGGAGCATGCAAGCGCTGTAGCAGCTTGCCCTCACTTATTAATCTCTTCATTTTGTGGGATCTTTTGCCTCCTGTGGGATTTGTTTCGTAGTTCTCTCCTGCAGGTTAGCATAGATCCCCGGAAACACATCCTGTTTGGAGAAGTTGGTTTTGTGGGGCTCCCAGTTTGGATGTTGATTTGCAGTGCAGACCCAGCCTGTCATCCTGGCCGCTTTGGGCTCCGGCCCTGAGCACGCATCGCAGCTCAGGTTGAGTGAGACACGATGGCTTTCATTGAAGGCCCTGGGCTGAGCTGGTTGCGAAGCAAGCTGGTTGCTGGCTACGTGCCAAGAAACCCGAAATGATACTTAAGAATGGTTTTTCATGGTTTCAAGAATTGCTGGCATGACCAAAGAAAGCTTCTGATTTTGCATCATTTTTTCCATCTCTTCCGAAGCGGCACATCCCATGCCTTAATTTATTGGATGATGAATCGGGGTGTTCCGTTTAAGAGGGCAGGCTTCACATGTTTAGGGGGACCACCTTGTGAATCCGCAAGGTTGATTCCCTCGCCCAGCCGCAGGTGCTCAGTATGCGCAGAAGGACCCGCTAGTGAAGCTGAGCCACAGACTGGTCATGGCTGTTCTGATGGGCTGCTTTGTCATGTGTAACGGACCAAACTTGGCGGACATTTGCTCCGGGTTTGGGCAAGACACTGGCGCTGATCGCTTGATGCTTCGCCAATGCGTCGCACATTTACATGTAGCTCCACATAGGATTTTTACGTCAACTGCATATTTCTTTCCAATGCAATTCCATTTCCGCATTGCGATGACCATATTGCCATGTCCTGGTTGGTTTGTCGTTTACCAACGACCAGTGGGTCGATTCCCTCGTTGGCAGATTTTGAGCGGCAGGTCCAGTCCAGGCAGCCCAGGAGGAGGGTTGGCCATCGGAACGAAGCTCGGCGCGAGCTAGCCATGCGGACTGGGGAGGGCGAGCGGGGGGGGGCCTAATTCGCAAGCCCAGACTTCTGGCCCTTCTGATTTTCGCAGGTCCACTTGACCTGGCAATTTTCTGGGGAGCTTGGACCCGGATGGGCCAAGTGAGGGGAGCCCCCCCGCATGAAAGCAGGAAGGAGATGACGCCCGACGATGCTTTTGTTGCTACCAAGAAGATCCACCAGAACATCAGAAGCATTGAAATGAAGACGTTTGTGCAGATGTGTTGGCGAGCCAAGGGGATGATGAGAGCACTCACTGCCATTACCATCCAGATATGCATGTGCCCCCAAAACACGTGGTTTTGGAGGGAGGCCCTTTATTCGATTCCACATTGCAAACAACTTGGTTTGGCGTCTGAGGCAGAACTCCATCCCAAATTGTGCGTGCTTTCTCTGAATGAGTAGGGGGAGCCAGGGCCATTCTTGTTCCGTTTTGCCGAGTTGGCTCAACACAAAGCCACCCAAGAATCAAAAACCCATAGGCCCCGGTGGCTGAGCCACCAAGAGCCACCTCAGCCAAGGACACCTCTCCCACCAAGCAGGACTGGGCGGCAAAAGGAATCCCTAGCCGCCAAAACATCCTCAGCTGTTTAATGGAAACTACTAGGCACCCTTTGCGAAAGCAACTGTTCCAAGGGACGACGATGATGGATGGTGACTGGGAAGCTGTCACCACAAGCTGCACGTGAAATCAAAACAACGTGTGGAATAGGTAGGAACCAACACCAAATGTGACATCGCACATGAAGGTGCTAAACCACCAGTGGCTTTTTTGCACATGGTGTGCCTTGTGTTTTGGGGGCAAATGTATTATGGATGAAGCCGACGCCTGGGTCAGGGCTCCTTGAAAGCTACAACTTGGCCATTCAGAGCTTTTGGCGTGGTCACAGAAACACTTGAAGAACCTTTGTGAGTGCGGTGGGAACTTGCAGGACTGGCTGGTTGCCCCTGCGGGCGACTGAGACACGGAAGGTGGCTTCGCGACCTTTGGCCGCTTCCGTCCTTAGAGCCCAGGTCCTGGAGTTGGTGGCCCAGGGTAACATGGAGGAGGTGGAGCGTCTGTTGAACCAGGCGAGCCGCGAGCCGTGATTTCAAGTTTGGGGGTAAAGCCGCGAGAGCCGAAGAGCCGAAGAGCTGAGCTCGCTTTCCCAGATCCGCGAGCCAAGTTTGGTGAAGTTATCGCTTGGGGTCTCCAAGCTTCCCGATTGCAGTCTCTCATGTGATCCTGGCAGGATGAAAACAAGCATCATGCCACGAAGGCAGGGGTGCTCCGCAACCGGCCGCGGAAGCATTTGTGGCAGTTCGCGCAGAGTGACGAGTTCCTGGTCAGAGAGGGCCTTTTCTTGCTCTCAAGCGAAGCAGCGAGCGGATCCGCCCGGCGGATTTGGCAGGCCTTCTACCATTGGATCATCCATGCCTGCCAGACGAAGCTCAACAACCCCGAGGCGCGGATCGCGCGGATCGTTTTGGGTCGAGTCTGGGGGTTGGGGCACCGCGCCATTCGCTCATTGAATGCTGCCTGCTTGGCGATAGTCCTTGGGTGTTTCTTCTAAGATTGCGAACCCCTCAATCTTCTGATTGCAAAGGGGAACAGCGGTAATGGTTTGCGAACTCGCCAAATTCCGGGAACACACATTTATTGTTATCTGCTAAGCGGCCTGACCCGGGTGATGTGGCCTCTACAAAACCTTCGGGGAAAACCTTGCCAACCACGTGGGTGCGAACTTTAAATGGGCCTCGGACCCCGGTAGGTTTCATAGCCAAGGGTGGGTACCTTGCGTAGACAACCAAGCCAGGAGAGGGCCAGTCGTTATGGCTCGTGGCGTGTCAGGCCGCACGCTGGTTTGCCACCCGGATGGAAAAGTCGGGCTTCAAGGCCAACGCGGGGTGCCCCAAAAGTTGCCGCGCCAGGAATGTTTTTCCAGCACAGGAAGGATTGCAAGTCAGATCACTGTGAGATCGGGCCCTGTCGGTTTCAACTCGCATGGCAAGGACAATTCTTTTTTTCTCGGCGACTGCACAAAGAGATGCCTCAATCGGGCGAACTGAGGATGTTGAGCCCTGCTTGAGAACCCGGCATGAAAAAGCGGCTTCCCCTACAATGAAAGGATTAGTTTGGGAACTACTTGATTAAGAACTCATGTATCCAGGTAGTTTGTAAACCAGGGTGTCATCACAACCTATTTTCTCTGCCCTACAACTGCCCTACCCGTTTCTAGGAATCTCAAAAAAGTGAGACGCACCGAGGTGGTGACTTTCAACTGCATGATCGGTTCGTGCATCAAAAATGGCCGGGCGCTGAGCTTTTGCTAAGTGGCTGCACTTCGCAAGAAGCACTGGCTCCTTGCAAGCTTGTTTTTGGACGGGGCTTCCCTGTACAATCAAACTAATACCAACAACGGGTGTCTTTTTCCCATGGCCCCTGGAGGTTTGAACCTTTGTCCAATGGGATCGATTCAATCAGCACGGCCAAGCACCTTGTACAGCTCATGGTGCAGTCTATTCAGCCAAACCCAAAGATAAAATAGGTGAAGGTTCCACGGATACGCCAGCCCATGTCACAGTGTTGAGGCGATCTTGACCTCGCGCGATCCTGGCGGCGACCTTAAAGGGTCGAGTTTGATCGGCCGTGAGAGCAAAGGCTACAACATTATCATTCTCATGACAAACATGGGTGTGTCTTTTTTGAGGGGACCCCTAAAATGGTGCTCTTCCTTTTGGTTTCCCTTTTAAAGCCACAAAAACGGGGTACCCTCAAAAAGACACCCATATGTGTCTGGTGAAGACAATACCTTTTGGACATCTTGCGTTGCCTGTCAAGCTCAACCTCATTCCAATTCACTCAAGAGTGGCAGTCTTGCCGCTTAGGGGGCAAACACGGCACGTATATTTTTCCCCTGGTACCTTTACCATACCAACTTTGTGGATCACAGTTGTTGAACAACTGGCTAGACACAGCCTGCGCAGAGTCCAAACAAGCACAACATGAGCTTGATGGTGTCAAAGATCTTCCGGCCGATTGCCTGGGCTGCCTGTGCGCTCGCGGAGTTTTGTGTTGATTGCGCCAGAGTGTTTGAAGACCTCATTCCAGGACGAGCTGCGCAAGAATGCTTTTCCTCAGTCCAACATGCGACCCTGAGCAAATCTCAGATTGGCATTGGTTCTGCTGAGCTTGGCCCGCCGGCCTTCCGCTTTCAGATGCACCAACACCCCATGTGCAGACATGAGCTGATCAACGCGGCAACTCGCACAGGGCGGAATCTGAACTTGGCGGTTGTTTTTCTTTAGGGGAAACCACGCTTGCAATGATTCTGCACGATACTGTTGGATATCCGCTGGCCTCAGGTGGGAGATCATGACTGCC